AACCGGGTGTATACTGGGTGACAGAGCCCCAGGTATCAGTTATCAGTGGGGTGAGACACTGCACGAGTGACACATCAGGGTCACTCATCGTGAAGAATCAGGGAGGATATGTACGTCCAGGTGGACATTATCAAACCATCTCCACTTTCTCAGTTCCAGAGCCAAAAGTACTGGTCTGGATGGGCTGGTGTAGGTCCCAGTCACAGGGAAGACTTCTGTACGCACTTGACCTGGATTTTTTTCAGCCATGAAACCATCATGTTAGACTGATTGCAGACTTTCTGATTTGCAGGCCAGTACAGTGACACAGGCACTATGCATGGAGGAGTGTATTAAATCCTGAAGGGCACAATCATTGATCAGTAATACCTCAGCTATTTGACTATGTCAGACCCAGCTACTTCCAACTTCAACCACAGACGGGCTCTTCTCATTTGTAACTTCTCTTTCATTCTTTCAATTTGCGGGAAAGAATTGCGGGATGTTTTAGTCTGACTTCTTTTTGGACTTTCTATACAAATTTTCTTCCTTGAAAAGCTAATTATTCCCGACAGTTTGTAAAGTATTGAATCTGAAGACATACTTAACACAATCTATCATCTCCCAGCCACTTTAATTTAAAGTCGTTTTTTATGAACTGCTCAGCGACAACCAGTTGTGTTTTGTCATGTGCTTGGTTTCACAGAAAGCCTTGAAGTCATAACCCAATTTCGGAATAACTGCTATTAGCAAGATGATGTGTGTGGTAGCGGCATGATTCTTTAGACAATTTATGATAATAAAAATAATTTATACTACTTATTTCAGGATACAGAAGAAACATTAGTGCCCAACTGTATCATTGACAAGTGTAACCCTGCTTGAATTATGTCAATCCAGAAAGAGGATCTGTAACAATTTTCTGGATTACTCAAGCTCCACAACTGCATCATGAGACCATATTCACAGGCCCAGGTTTCCTGTTTTCAGATAATAATGGAAGAACGTCATTTTGGAACAGCTCTAGACTGCAAGGGTAACTCAACTGATATAAAGCCAGCCAAGTACCCTCTCAATGTGCCAGCTGAACGTCTGAAAGTGGCAGGGAGGTGTGCAGGGAGGCCACCCATGGTGCTGTTCAGTAGAGATGTGTTCAGTGCTCTGTACCCTCACAGAAAGCGCTGCTTTAGCTGTGCTACAGTCTGCTAGCTGTTGTCTTCTTGGAATCAACAGAGTGACAAATA